AAGGAGCTAAACATGTATTTCCTTCTATCTTCTTTCCTTCCTTTCCTTATCTGCTTTAAACAATAGAAGGAAAATAAAATCCAATTAAGATTTTGTGTGGAATTATTATCAACCAGTGATAACGAAATCACTGAGCATTCATGGTACTATAAATCAGTTAGTTATCTATTATATATCCATATGCCCAATGAAGTGTTGGCTGGATAAAGGCAGGCATCATATCCAGCAATAGTAATCATTCAAAAATTATGTGTTGAATGAAAAAAATGCATGGAATCTACAGAGCAGGAATCTTTAATTCTTGGAAATTCTTGGAAATGCTTCAGGGCATCTGTAAACTGCCTAAAATTATATACATGATTGCAAGTGAATATAAATGTATGTATGCCAAGGTAAATTTTTCTAGTAAGTGAGCCTATAGATTGCATGAAGTTCTCTTCCATACTGATTACATTTTAAAAACAAAAGCAAGGGATACTTGGGTGCCTGAGTCAGTTAAATCTCCAACTTCTGATTTGGGGTAGGTCATAATCTCAGGGTCATGAGATTAAGCTCTGTATCAGCTTTACAGTCAGTGGGGAGTCTACTTGAGATTCTTTCCCTCTGCTCTTCCCCCTCTCCCTGCTCTCTCATCCTCTCTATCTCAAATAAACAAATCTTTAAAAAACAAAAACAAAAAGGTTATGGACCTTTGCTATGGAGATGTGACTAACCTAACCTACGTTTGCTGCCCCTTGCCTTTATGAACACAAACCCCTACATATTTGTTAGTAAGTTCTCAAGTGTTTATTTTTAAACAAGTAGAACTCCTCCCTGATCTATTTGGAACAGAAATGAGTATAAGAGCAAGCATTATATGCCACTGTCATATAACACATCTTCCAGAAAACATGCAAAAGTGTTGTCATGCCCGGCAGTTTGGGAATCATGCTGGGCTGGGGAAAAGTGGACCTGCCAGAAAACTGAAGGAAGTCTCTTAATTTGGGGACACAACAAAATAGATGACACTTTCATATTTTCTTCATTTCTCTGTATCATTCTAAGACACAAAAATGTAACTCAATTAAAAAATAAAAGTCTTGGCCTGATAAATGCAGACACACAAATTCAAGAGACCCACAGAGGCAAAACACACAGAATGCATGTTAAGAAAAGAAGTAACATAGAGGATTCCCTAAACATCCTGATATACAATAGTAATAATAATAACAGCAGCAATGATGATAGCGCAATTTACAACTCGAACCCCCGCACCACCTGCAGTCAAAGCACTTTTCAGACAGATGCGTCGGCTGGCACAGTGACTGACATTTCATACATCAAGACATGATGATTCAGACAGGTTTAAGTTTTATTCATGTTGCAGTTATATAATGGGGAAGCAAAGGCATGTCCATACATCTCTCACTTCTAAATGCTGTGTTCTTCATTCATTTTATTTAAGATCATAGAATAACAGCTAGGCCTTTTTTCTTCCTAATTTCTGAATATGTTCGTAATTATTCATTGAAATCTAGAAAAATCAAGGTGCTAAAAAAGCCAATTCATGATTATTGCTGCTGCCACTGAATTAATGTGTTGGCAGATGGGGCTAAGTTGGTACATAGAAAACATCAAGGGAAGTAGCAAAATAAGAAACTTGGCCTTGGGGTCCTTTGAAGCTATTTCAAAAAGTAAAATGTTATGTTAAGAGCTATGTGGTGTATCTTTGTGTATGTGTAATTATTATTCCATTGATTTATTGCACACATGTCAAAAAGCATCTGGGCATTTGTACAAGTTAAAACAAACCAACCCAGGAGCCAAGCCACATAGCCACAAACCCAGACAAATTGCCTTCCACTCCTCATCCTACCCTTCATCCTACTACCTCCTAAACCCAAATACCCTGGTAGCAAACGGCTTCCTTGCAGTGATGAACCTTTAAGCCAGAGGTATCTGTCCTTTATACCATATTCTAAGAGTAGCCAAACCCAGTTGATGGTACAAATTTTCCAAATAAGCCAACATGCTCTTCCCATTCTAGGGAGAGCCCTCTCCTGTTTTAGCGAGAGCTTACAGAAATGACTCAGGAATCTAACTGGAAGGAACGATCAGGTATAACCCCCACCAAGAATGAACACCATATCTTTCATATGAGTGTAAACTCAGGTCTTTCATTATAGGGCACAACAAAACATAAAATATCTCACTCACTGACTCACTCACTAATCTACCACATGTTAGGTAGGGAGATTCTTACTTCTGTCTGTTTCTACAAGAAGCAGGAAAATTTCTTTAATGTACTTTACTCTGCTGTCAAAAATCCTTTGCTTATAATCCAACAATTAGAGCTAATTTCAACCTCAACTGCTTCCCCTAAGAGATGGAGATCATTAGATAACATTCTCCATTTCGATTTACAAAGATTTTAAAAGAAGAAAAAGGGCAAAAGAAATTTCCTTGGATGTTTCCAGTTGATAAAATCATTAATCTCACACTCCCAACTTCAAAGCAGGAAACTAGAAAATCACCTCACTTTCTCTGCACACAGAGAATAATTTTTTCTACTTCAAAGCACCATCTCTTTATTGGGTCATTTTAATTATTGAACATGGGATGGAAGCTAATCACATAATGCTACCACTGTCTTTTTCATGAAAAATGTATAGGTCTGATTTAGACTACATTAACTTGAGAAGAGTAAGATACAGGGGAGAGTATAAGGAAAGGGAAAGAGGCCAGGGGATACAGCACTCATCAGTATAAGATAATGAGAGGAAGGTAGTAAGACTTTTTGAGCTGACTTTTCTTTCTTTCCTGCTGGAAAGGAACCATCAAGAAGCCTGATTCCCAGTTCAAGTAATACCACAACAGATTGCCTTGCTTCTCAAATTTCCTTCTACCTAATACACAGCAGCAGAATTACACAGCATTATTAGTAATGCTAGTGTCATTGCCAACCCAAGACAACCATGTGTTGTGAATAATCACTGTGAAAACAAATTGACCCTTGTTCTACAACAGGGGTCAGCAAACTATCTGGTCCTCTTCAGACTACGACTGGTAGGAAAAGGACATTTCAATTCCCACTCAACCCTCTTCCCACAAAATCACAATCCTATGGCTTGGCAAACTTTCTCTGTAATGGGCCAGAGAGTAAATATTTTCAACTTTAAGGACCAGATGGCCTCTGTCGCTATTAAATTCTGCTGCTGATGCCCCAAAAAAGCCAAAGACAACACACAGATGACAGGGTGTGGCTGTGTTCTAATAAACCTTTATTTATAAAGAAATGCAATAAGTGGGCTTTGTCCCAAAAGTCATAGTTTTAACCCCTATTTAGATAAGTGCCAGATAGCAGAAATGTTCTATGGCTTACTTTCTCATACACTAGTCACTAGCCACATGTAACTATCAAATACTTCAAATATGGCTAGTGTGTCCAAGAAACTACATTTTAAATTTTACATAATTTTAGTTAAGTTTGATTGGCCACCTGTGGCTAGTGGCTACAGTATTGGCACAGTTCTGGACTAGATACACTGTAGCCTCTTCAAGAGAGACACAAGCTGTCTTCCAATGGCAGAGCTCACTTTTTTTTTTTCTTTTAAAGATTTTATTTATTTATTTGACAGACAGATCACAAGTAGGCAGAGAGGCAGGCAGAGAGAGAGATTGGGAGGGAAGCAGGCTCCCCACTGAGCAGAGATTCCCGAGCAAGGGCTTGATTCCAGGACCCCGAGATCATGACCTGAGTCAAAGGCAGAGGCTTAACCCACTGAGCCACCCAGGCGCCCCCAGAGCTCAAATTTTGACCGTGCAAAATAAAATATCCGTGCTTCCAATTTCCCAATGAAACCACACAGAACTGAAAATGATATTTCTTAAATGTGAAATATCTACATCACTGAGGTCAAAGTGACCATTTGGGTTTGCAGTGATCAAACAACTGCCTACGAGCCAGTGTCAAGTGCACAGGGGCTGAGTCACACACATGCCAAGACCCATCCAATCTGGAGGTTGTCTCCTTTCGCCTCAGGACACTCTGCTGCACCTGGACTGAGGGCATAGGCCTACTCAATGGCCCCCTTAACTCCAAGGAAAATTTAAACCTCCCCACAGACCCGAAAACATATACAAAGGCATGGCTTAAAGAGCACAAGAGAGAACGTGCAACTCAATTAGACTGCCTTCTCTCACAGAAACCCACAAAACATACTGCCTTAACCCCCCAAATCAGGGAGATTCACCACATTCTTTGCTATCGTCCACGTGCAATAATTTATTTTCTGGCAACTGTCTTACTTACATAACTAGCTCGTGTTTTGCTTTTCTTAGCACCCAAAGATATAATCCAATGAAGAGAAGCAAGGAAATAGGATAGTAACATGTATTTGGTTTTCTTCTAAGTATGAATAAGAAGTAACAAACCAACATTTCTTTTAAGAAACTCACACAAATATCAACTTTCTTCAATGGGTAAAAGAATCTTGAAAATTGAGGATACTCTTTAGGAAGTAAAAAACCCCTAGAATCACAGAGAGGGACGTATACAGATACACAGCAAGTAAGGCAGAGGACATTGCAACGTTTTTATGATTTTGAAAATACCATTATAGATCCAACCATTTATTTATGGTTCCCAAATCCAAAAAACTCTGAAAAATGAAAAAAAAAATTCCAGTGTAAAACAAACTCTTTTGGGGTGGCACAACCTGACATGAACTAACAGGATGCTACTTACACAGTTTTCACTTACCCTACTTTAGTGTGAGCAATTTTTTTTTTCTGCAGAAATAGTCATTTGTTTGTTATAGGGTGTTGCTATATCCCCACTGTGAGTGTTACGCAATCTGTGGTATGGGTCTTACCTTTCCAAAATCCCTGGAACATCTGATATCCAAAGCACATCTGGCCCCAAGGGGTTGGATAAGGGATCTTCTAAAGAAAGCTGTCCAGGTAGGATATTTTCTATCAACTCAACGTCTGCTGCCTGGAATCCTGAAACAGTGCCTTACCTCGGTCTGAAGGATGGCAGCCCTCTGTTCTTTGGCAGTAAGCGACTCTTTAAGCACTTCAATGTGTTGCTTGCAATCTGAATTTTGATTGCTAAGGGTTTCAAGCTTTGTTTGTAAGGCAAGAAGTTCTGACTCCTTCTTTGAAAGCTCCTGCTTCAGCTGATCAATCTGTAAAACAACAATATTGCAAGAAATTAGAAGCCACAGTTCCTACTCTTTACATTTGTGAGCTGCTGATTTCTCTTAATTTTCAATAGCTAATGATCATTAATCCAACAAGGCAAACCAACAAGTTTGCCTGAAAAGATGGCCTTGGAAGTTCTTATGGGTCTGCAGAGGCTCTATAAAGGTAGTCAAGAGCATAAAAAAACAGAAAAGTAAGGTCAGCAAACTGCCTTCCACCTTCCATCCCACTGAGGACCAAGAGTCACAGTGGAATGAAGGCTTCCTAGCCAAATCCACTCCTCATCCATGAAGCAATATAAATTATTCACCAAAATCCTCAGAAGGGTCAGCAGGTTGCTAATAAAGGTAATGAACCCAAGACATACCCTGGTCCTTTTCTGCTACTCGACAGTGGAAATGATCATTCAAAGCAATCATTTGGCAAAAAAAGAAATCCTCACTCCCCCCTTCAAAAAAGTAAGTATTAAAGGTTTTTTGTTTATATTAAATACTGAAAAGACACAAAAGAACATAAAATTATGGAAAGTATAAGGAAAAATAATATGAGAAACATTCATCATTCAAATCACCAAAAAAGATCGTTAGAATTATCTACATCCCAACCCATTTCTATCTCCTTCTCTCTTAATGCAGAAATAATTACCACCCTAAATTGTGTGTTTGTCATTTATTTGCTTGATTTTACGTATGTTTTTTTACTTTAAACTTCATTTGTTCTGTATATTTTTTTAGTACCTAGCTTTTTTCTACTCAATCTTATGTCCTAAAGATTAAATCATGTTATTGTACATACAATTTGCTCATTTTCCCTGAAGTACAGAATTCTATTGTAAGACTGCACCACAATTTGTTTGCCCATTCTGCTGTTAATAGACATTTTGGTTGGTTTCCAGGTTTTTTGCTAGAACAGAAAATGCTATTCTGAATATTCTTATATATATATCACCTGGTACACATAGCAAAATGATCTAGGAGTTAAATTGCTGGACTACATAGTATGCACATCTTTAACCTTACTAGATAACACCAAAATGTTTACCAATGCTGTTATACTCATATTCAGGGTCACAAGGAGTGTGTAAGTGTGCCAATCACTCCGCATTGTTGTCAACATCTTGCGTCACCAGACTTGTACATTTTTACCAGCCTGATAGTTGTGGTTGATGATCTCCAAAGATGACTGTCACCAAGTTCTTCCTGCTTATACACACATGGGGTACTCACAACTAAAGGTGGAGTCTGTTTACGCTCCCCTTGAACTTGGGCTAAACTGTGGCTTGCTTCAACCAGTAAATGCAGCCAAAATGTTAGTTCTGGTCCTTGCCTGTAGGAGGACAGGCACATTTAGTCTCCTCCAGCTGGAAGCCGGCCACCATGTTAGAAATCCAGCCACCCTCTGACCATGATGCTCTGAAGGCCATACCAGCCACATGGACAGGCCATGCAGAAAGACAGAGAGGCCTAGAAGAAACTGTGGCTTATTTTCACCTTGTTTCTGGTCTTGAAGGCAAGAATTTCAGTGTTTCATCATTAAGTTTGATGTTTGCTTTAGCTTTTTATAGGCACTCTTAAGTTACAGAAAGTTCCCTTTTATTACAACTTTGCCAAGAGTTGTTTTTTTTTAATCATTAAGGAATGCTTAATATTAATAAACATTTTTTCTGCTTCTCATGATTTATCACATTTTTCACCTTTAATATGTTATTGAAATGAATTACATTAATGAATTTTTAAAATATTCAGCTCTCCTTGCACAACTATGAAAAACCCCACTTGGTCATGATGTATTATATTTTTATATGTTACTGGATTCAGCTTACTAATATTTTGTAAGAATCTTTCATCTATGTTTATGGATGAGACTGGTTTGTAATTTTCCCATTTTGTGCTGTCTTCATCAGGTTTTAGTACCAAGTTTGCCTTCTAAATGGAGTGCTCACTCTTTTAATGTGTTCCGAAATGGTTTGTGTAAAACTGAAATTTTCTTACTGTTAACTTTCATTTACAAATCACCAGTAAAGCTGGCATTTTCTTTCTCCGAAGAGTGTTACTTACTTCATCTATTTATAGGTTATAGAAATATTTGTGTTTCTAATTATTTGAGTCAATTTTGATAAGTTTTTTTCTCCTAAGAATTTTTCATTTTATCTAAAAATTCACCTTTCCTTAGCAGAAAAATTTTCATAAAACCCATTTATCTTTCAATACCTATGGCATCTATGATTCTTCTATTTCATTCCTAATATTCTTTAATTTTACTCTTTTCTTTGATGCGGCTCTGCAGAGGCATGCCACATTAAATAATCTCTTCAAAGAGCCAATTTTGGCTGTGTCGATCATCCAACATTCTTATTTTCTTTTTTTTTTTTTTTTAAGATTGCATTTATTTATCTGGGAGAAAGAGCACATGAGAGAGAGAGATCACAAGCAGTGGGAAGGGGAGGCAGAGGGAAAAGCAGACTCCCTGACGAAAAGGGAGCTCTACCTGGGACTCAATCCCAGGGCCCTAGGATCATGACCTGAGCAGAAGGCAGACACTTAATGACTGAGCCACCCAGGCACCCCAAACATTCTTATTTTCTATTTCATTAATTTGAGCGCTTATTTTTTGAATTTCCTTCCTACTGCTTTCTTTGGTTGGATACTTATCTCACTAATTTTCACTCCTTTTTCTTTCCATATATGTGTCTTAAAACTATAAATTCCCCTGTAACATTTTAGCTTGATATGTAGTATTGACATTTTTATTCCATCATAAATATTTTCTGATTTCCATTATTATTTATTCTTCAACTCACAAATAATTTGGAAATTTGCTTCTTAGTCTAAAAATATATGGACGTTGGGGTGCCTGGATGGCTCAGTGGGTTAAATAAAGCCTCTGCCTTCAGCTCAGGTCATGATCCCAGGGTCCTAGGATCGAGCCCTGAGTCGGGCTCTCTGCTCAGCAGGAAGCCTGCTTCCCTCCCTCTCTGCCTGCCTCTCTGCCTACTTGTGATCTCTGTCTGTCAAATAAATAAATAAAATCTTTAAATATATATATATATGGATGTTTATATATATATATATATATATATATATATGGATGTTTCCTAGTTATCTTTGTGTTTTTTCTTGCTTGTTTGCTTTGTGAATAGAGAATAAGGTCTGTTTGATACTAATTATTTGAAATTGGTGTGATTGCTTTAAGACAGAGTATGTGATCATTTATCATAAATGTGCTTTGTATACTGTGTGCTAGAAAAGAATCTGTATCTAAAAATTATTGAGTGCAATAATCTATATTTATTGGCTTGAAAATGGTTTCCTTGCCATAAAGTCTATGACACCTTTCTTAAGTTAATATTCGGTTGGTGTATCTTTTTTTCACTTTCAATGTATCATTAACTTTATGTTGTAGATGTCTCTTGTAATAGCATATACCCAGATTCTTTTGTCCTGTCTGATAAAATTAAATGGAGCATTTATTATCATTACAGATATATGTGATTTTATTTCAACCATCTTACCTTGTGCTTTCTAAATATACTGCCATTTCTATTACTTCCCTTTTAATTCTTGCCTTTTGAATGAATTTTTTTCCAATTCCATTTTTTATTCTATTTTTTGCCTCTACTCATTTAAAAGTTATACCTTTATTTATATTTATTTTATGTTTATTTCATTTATTTCTAATCCTTAGGTTACTACCCTAGAAAGTATAGCATACTTACATTTTTTAATTCACTCATCATATTTAGTATTTTAAGTCCAGTAGATTTTCTGATACATGGTTTACCTAAGTCTAAAGTATGCTTACATTCTTTCTGAATAACAGAAGGATCTTAAGACACTTTAAGTTCAGCCACCATCCCCTGGACACACACATTACTGTCATGTATTTCAGTTCTTCCCTATTTTGTTTTTAATTCACCATTACTTTTTTACAGTCCGTGTTTGTTTAGATTTACCCCCACATTCGTCACTAACTTTGTTACTTGTTCCTGCATCTCAGATATTGTCAGAAATCTCCTTTTGCCTAAAATCCAACATTTAAAATTCTTTTAGTAGGATTTGGGTTGGTGGCAAACTCAATTTTTATCTAAACATATCTCAACAATTTTTTAAAATATTATTGCTCATTATTAAAAGAAATTTTCTAGGTTAAGAGATACTTTTCTCAGCCATCTTCTGGCTAAAAAAGCTATTAAGAAGTCAAGCTATCACTCCAAATTCATTGCTTTATAAGTATTAGGACTTTCTTCCATTAGCTGCCTTTTTAAATAGTTTTATTGAAATATAATTTATATGCTATACAGTTCAACTGCTTAAAGAGTACAGCTGATGGTTTTTAGTATATCAACAGAATTATGCAACCATCATAATCAAAATTTAGATCATTTTCTTCATCCCAAAATGAAACCTGGTAACAATTAGAAGTCACTCTCCATATTTTCCACCCTCCAACCCCAGCCCTAGGCAACTAATAATCTACTTTCTGTCTATTCTGGGAATTTTATATAAATGAAATCTTACAATATACATACTTTGTGACTGCCTTCTCTCACATAGCACAATGTTTCAAGATTCATCCATGTTGTAGTATGTATCTGTACTTCATTCCTTTTTATTGTTGAGTAATAAATAGTATAAGTAGTATACTGAATGAATATGCCACATTTTGTCTATCCATTTACCAGCTGAGGGGGACACTCAGGTTGTTTCCATGTTCTAGCTATTATGAATAATGCTCCTAAGAATATTCATATGCAAGTCTGTGTGGACATAACGTTTTTATTTCTCTTGGGTGTATATATAGGTGTGGAATTGCTAGGCCATATGATATGTTTTCCAAAATGACTGTACCATTTTATATTCCCACTAGCAATATATGAGGGTTCTAATTTCATCATATTCTCACCAACACTTGTTAGTACGTCTTTTTAATTATTGCCATTCCAGTGGGGATGAAGTAATACCTCATTGTGGTTTTGATTTCTCTA